TTGTATCCTGCTACTCTACAGAATCTGTCAATTAAGTCTAGAAGTCTTGGTAGAGTTTTTTGGGTCTTCTATGTAAAGTATCATATTGTCAGCAAATAGTGACAGTTTAACTTCTTCGTTTCCTATCTTTATTCCTTTTATTTCTTTCTTTTGTCTAATTGCTAATGTTTCCAGAACTATATTGAACAGGAGTGGTGATAGTGGACATCCTTGTCTTGTTCCTCATTTTAGCGTGAAGGTTTTCAGTTTTTGACCATTTAGTATGATGTTGGCTGTTGGTTTTTCATAGATAGCCTTAATCAGGTTGAGATAAAGACCTTCTATTCCAATTTTCTGTAGGATTTTTATCATGAATCGGTGTTGGATTTTGTCAAATGCCTTTTCTGCATCTATTGAGATGATCATATGGTTTTTGTCCTTGACTCTGTTTATATAGTATATTACATTTATTGATTTACGTATGCTGAACCATAAATCCAACTTGGTCAGGGTGTATGGTCTTCTTGATGACCCTCTGTATTCTGTTTGCCAGTATCTTGTTGAGGATTTTTTCATCTATGTTCATTAGGGAGATTGGCTACAAGGCCTTTTTAAATAAAAACCTGTTATTTTAAACACACTGGCTTTCTCCTTAAAGCAAAGGTAGAGAAGCCCTGCTATGGATGTTCTGTTCTTCTCTGGAAGTTCATGCAGCTTGCAGGACTGTGGTGTGGTTAGCTCCAACTTCTGAGCCGAGGCTTCTCACCCGCATTGCTCTGCTTTCTCGCTCCCGCTGTGGTGGCCAGCAATAAAAATGCAGGGAAAGTAGTTTAAGGGAAGTTCAAGGCCAACTTGGGCAACTTAGTGAACGCTGTCTCACATAAATGATAAGAAGTGCTAGGGGTGCTGCTCATGGCTGAACACCCCTGGGTTAGATTTCTGGTGGTGAAAAGACAGGACAGAAAGAGAGGATTGTGTGTCAGACAGTCTCGGGCATGGGAAGGCTCGCAGCGCCGAGGCTTGATGGTGACCTGTCAGGCTGCACGGCTCCTGAGTCGTTTGCCCAGGGTGCGAGGCCCAGCGCCACACACACCCGGCAGCGCTTCCCTTGTGTTCGAGGACCAAGAAGAGGTAGAGGACGCCCGCCGAGCTGTCACCCTGAGGGTGGCTTTGGAAGCTGCAGTGCAGACCTGAGTAAACCAGGAGGGCCCCTCCCCCAGAAGCTGCTGTGCTGCCACCGGCCCCTGCTGTGTGTCCAGCCCCAAAGCAGCTCGCAGCAGGTTTGCTCACATGCTGTTCAGAGTGTCGTGTGGGTGTCAGGCACGGGGTGCAGCCAGAGGTCAGGCAGGGATCCCGGGGTCGGTCTGGTCTATTCCTTACTGGGGTTTACACGTTACCCCTGGAGACAGGCAAGTGGAGCCAGGTGAGTATTTAAGAGATTGGGACCGAACGGGACTAGGGTGGGAGCCCTAGTGGTGTCGGGTCGGGAGGAGGAAGTGGTGCTCATGTGAGCCCGGGCCGCCCGCAGGGGTCCGAGAGGGACCCTGGCCACTGCACACCTCCCCTGACAGAAATGTCCCTCGTTGTCTCGTGTGGCTGCCACCAGCCACGTGTACCCAGGGCTGCGAAATGGGCTGGTTCTCCTGAGGGGCTGAGTGTTGTCACTGCACGGGGAATGGAATGTCCATGCGGCTGGGTTACGCCCTGGCGCGGGAGTGGACAGCTCACTGGTGAGGAGAGAACGCGTTGGCTGCTGTCTGGAGCCCTTTTACCATTCCGTGTGTCTGCACCTCATTGTTGCAGCCTGTGCTTCGCCTTGGGGTGAAGGCCATGCAAAGGCAGCAACTGAGGCCGGCTGTGTGGGGCCTTGTTTGTGTCTGTGCTCAGGGCGCTTCACGTCCTGAGCATTGCTGATGTCCCAGCAGGGCGGCCCTGCGCTGCTGCCTGGCCCCAGCCCCAGGATGATCCCCGGGCCCCACGGTCCCGACCGTCGCAGGCCACTGTCTCTGTCCTGCTGCCTCCCAGCTGGGTGCTCAGGAACAGCTGTGTGAGGGCAGTGCTGGCGCCATGCAGGAGTCCACACCAAACACCAGGCCCCAGCTGACTCAGAATTCTTTCCTCAAGGCTTTGGGAGCCCAGTCCCTGTGTTGGCCCTTGGGGGACCCTGCCCAGACTCTGGGACCTCTGCCTCGACTGGTTGCAGCTCAAGCCTTGGGTGCAAGTGAAAAAGCAAGAGGACAGCAGGGATGTGCCCGCGGGAAGGTGAGACCTGGGAGGCCAATGCCAGCTGGGCCAGCAGAGCAGCCCAGAGTCTTGGCCGCCATGCTGCTGTCCGGGGCCCGCCTTCGTTACTTTTCTCATTGCTGAGACAAAATACCCGATGCCCAGAGTTAGAAGGGGAAAGGTTTATGTGGCTCAAGTCTGTAGAGGTTTCAGTCCATAGCTGACTGGCTCGAAGGCAGGGTGGCGCGGCAGAGGGGCATCGCAGAGGAGAAGCGGAAGGCAGAAGGCAGCAAGGCAATGAAGTAGCAAGCAGCAAACAACAAGCAGCCTTCTTTCTGTCCCTTATAGCTTATCCAGGTCGCCCCCCCACCCAGGGTGGGCCACCTTAATCCCAGCGCCACACGCCCCAGTCCAGCCACTTCTGAATGGCCCGCTTATGACCACATGCGGCTTGGGGACATCCAGACACACGCGGGTCTCTCTGTCGGGGGCAGGGGCTGGGGCTGCCCTGAGCACTGGGATGTCTGTCTGGGCCAGATGACCCCTGGGGGACAAGCATCCCGGGCTGAGGATGCCACTTGAGTCTGCATGGGAAAGGAGACTGTCTGTGAGAGGGGTCCCATGGGGAGGGAACCCCACGACCCACAGGAAGTGAACTATCTCTTGGCTGTTTTGTTTTGTTTGAGACTGGATCTCGTTGCTTAGTCCAGGCTGGCTTTGAACTTGCTATGTAGCCCAGGCTGTCTCCTGCATCAACCTCCTGAGTGCTGGGATTACAGGTGTGCACCCCCATGGCCCCTTTGGGCCATTCTTCTTGAGGGTCAAGCATAGGTGGCTGTGGGCATGGCCGCACCCAGCCTTAGAGAGGCAGGAGCGGCTGGAAGCCACTGAAGGGCTTTGAGGTGAGAATGAAGGATCAGATCACTCAGCTACCCCGGGGAGGAGAACAGGGTGGGGGGAGCTGTTGTTGGAGCCGATAAAGCATCAAGCTGGTATCTGCTGACCTCTCAGACGACACCAGCAGTGACATGACCAGTGATGATGACGAGGACGACAACGACGTGAGCCCCAACGGAGAAGGAGCGCCGTCACCTCAGCCAGTCGGCTCCTTCAGCAGTGAGTAGCCCGCCAGCCCCACCAGGCACCGCCCGTGCAGGGGAGGGCGCTTCTGGCGCCAGGTGGACGAGGCCTCTTTGGAGATGGTGCACCACCTGCAGCATGTGTGGCGTCACTCAGATCTGAGAGGAGAGTAAACTGACGGAGACATTTTTATGTGAGAACTAGACCCCAATAGAGAGTGAAATGCAGGGCTTTTCAAGCCCTAACATAGGTGAAGCTATTGGGCGTCTGCTTCAAGATGTGCCCTGCCTCCCTAGGAAAGGTCCTTAAAGGTTCTTCAGTGACCTTCACAAGTGTGTGTTGCTCCTAGGGAGGGCACGTGTTTTGTCTCACTGGGTCCTGTTTGGTTGGGGTGGAATGATGTGGGCCTCGGGATTGGCTGGTCTGAGCCAGACTCGGGGGCTGGGCTCCACTTCCGGAGTTTGGACTGATGGGGAGCTGGCTTTGGACAGACCTTTGGGACTTCTCTGAAACAAGGCCCATTGGGCAAAGCCTCCAGAAACCGTGCTGCAGGACGGGGTGGGAATCTGTCTCCACTGAGGAGCAAGGGTGCCTCCCCTCGGAGGAGGGCGTGTGCCCATGAGGGGAGCACTTCCTTCACTCCTCCACTGTCTGACCTGCCTGGGACACTGGGACCAAGGTTGAAGCTGGGACTGGGTCCAGAGAAGCTGAAGCAGAGACGAGGAGTCTCAAGGCTGCCAGTTGCATTCCAGGAGTTCTGGCAGAAATAAGTTGTCTGCCGGCCCACACCCACACGCCTGTGCCCTGTATACTTGCAACCCATACACCTGGACCTCACACACCTGGAGCTCCAACACCTGCACCCCACGCACCCGGACCTCATACACCTGCATCTCACCCACCTGGACCTCATGTACCTGCACCCCACGCACCTGGCCCTCATGCACCTGGACCCCACACACCTGCTGTGTGCTCAGGGCCCCTAGCACTCAGTGGGCTGTGCTCCAGTTTTTCCAGAGCTTAGTTCAAGGTTCCTCCTCCTCAGCCCTCTCAGTAGGGCCACCTGTGTGTTTTCCGCCATCTTCACCACTCATTTACTGAAGATGTTTCTTACACTGGTGCTTTTTTTTAAACTTGAAGTTTCTGTATAAAAGACCATGCTGCTACAAAATTAAAATCCTGTACAAAGTGCCACAGAGAAGATGTAGTCATGCACAGTGAGTGAATTTTAACCGTGGTAACTAGTTAGGAGTGGCCTTCAACCCGGGAGCAGGTGTGGGAAGGCCAGGCCTGAGGCTTCTGCACTGGTGAGAGTTAGGAGCTGACCAACACCACGTGTTGGACGTATCAGTGTCTGCTCCTCCTGGACATGGAGGATGCCACAGGGCACCGGGAGCTCTACCTTAACGACCTGGAGAAGGTTGTCTGGTCCCCCGAGGGGCAGAGCAAGGCTGGCAGTGCCCTCCTGGGACTCGTGTTGTGGCCACTGCCTCAGGTTAACCTCGTGGTCAAGCCTGGGGCTCCCTGACTGCGGGCGGTGTGGGCGCTGCTGGCCTGGGCTGCTCCCTCCTGACCACTGTTCCTTCCCAGGGCTGCCCCCGCAGGACCTGTCCCTTCCTGAAATGGCAGACACAAGCTTTGAGGTGGACAGCAGCGACGGCAGGGACACCATGGGCATGGACTGGGAGGCCCAACTGCAGGTACATGCAGGCTTCCACTCTTGTCAGAAAGCTGTCTTCCTGTCCGCAGAGATGCCCTTCTGTCCCCATCTGCCCCCAAGCCCTGCAGTGGTCACGAGCCCCCAGTCACTCCCGGGAGGTGGCTGAGGTGCAGTGGCCTGGTCACCGGTGTCCTGGTCATCGGACTCGGTCGCGTTTGGTGTCATTAAGAGCCCTTCCTAGCTGTGGGCAAAGAGCTGGGGCCCACGCCCCTCACCCGCAGAGTCACCGGCTGCTCCCGCCCGGACTGGCGTGGTGGGGAGGCTGTGCAGGTGGCCTCTGAGGCTCGGGGCCGCAGTTCCCTCTTCTGAGATCCCTGTCGGTATCTGGCATGCTCCTGGGCAGGCCACGGGGGCAGCGTGTCAGGCTGGTCAGCAGTCGCCAGGCCTCTCTGCCCACAGCCTGGGCAGCACCAAGGGCACGGCTGTCTGGGCACTGCCACGGCGCTGGTGAGCTCGAGTCGAAGTCCGAGTGCCCTTGGTCTCATAGGAGCAGTGTAGTACACACACAATCAACCGCACTTACTTTATTCAGACTGGACAGGTGGCCATAAGATGGGAAGAGCGACCTTTCTGCTATTGCTGGGGGGGGCTCTGCACCCCCACCCAGCAGTGACCCCTCTGCCTCTCTCTCCACTCTGCGCTCTCTGCCAGCCTCCCTGCTTGGAGCTCTGGCTCCCTCCCTGTGTCACCACGGACACCCTCTGTGCCCAGTGTGATACAAACGAGCCCCCGCTGCCCGAGAAACCCACTGGCCAGCAGGCACCGGGACCCAGCAAAGATAGGTGGTCACGGGGCTGGGGCTGTGTTCGTTCATTCAGTTCCCAGTGCCTCCTGCGTTTTTGTTTGTTGTCCTGGAAACTCTCAGGTGTGAGCTAGAAAGAGATTGGTTTCTGCAGCTTGGCTTCTTCATTCCCTCAGAGTGCTTTGTGTTTCAATGCCTGCACCCCAGGGTGCTTGAGGGAGCCCCCCAGGAGATGCACCCCACTCCGAAAAAAAACCGCTGCCTTTTTTGGTGCTACATTTTTCATGTTGCCACAGTATTTGTACCGCTTCCCAGCAGAACTGCAACGCACTTAATGTCAAAGACCTGTCTCTTCCTTCGTAATTTGTCTTCCTATGTAAACACTCACCAGCCCACAGAAGCAGAAACTCCTCCCCCGCAGCCGTGCAAGGCCACAGCTTCGCACCCTTGGTAGTCACGCCACCCCTTCCACTGCCAGTTCTCTCCAGCGCCAGAGCCCGTGGTCTCGCCACAGCCCCGTCCAGCTCTGCAGGCCTCAGTGCTGTTCTGTCCTGGAACCAGCACCTGCCGTGCCCAGGAAGTTTCAGCACAGCCTCTGTGGTCGGCAGACCTCAGATTCTCCTGAGTGATGTGAAGTTTTAAGTCCTCTTTTGGGGAAATGTGTTAAGATGGAAAAGGCATTTCTAACATAAAGGCCCCTGGGCTTTGCCATTGCTGTGTTGTTTGGAAACCCTGCACCTCGGAGCTCCCCGTCAGCCACACTGGGTAGCTTTCCTGCCAGCCTGCCTGTGCGTATTGCAATCCTACCCTGCACAGGGCCCACCCGAGGTCTTATCCCCAACCTCTGCCCACTGTTCAGGCCACCCGAGCCACCCCTCTGTGACGGCCGTTGAGCCTTTGCTCTCTGCATCCCAGCATACTGTTTACTGCTGCTCTCTAATTGTTTCATCAGTCATTTCCCCTCCAGCCAAATTGTAAGCTGCATGAGGGCAAGGAATATGTGTCATGTGGCTTTGGGATCTGCCTCAGAGTGCAGCACCAAGGTAGGTACAATGTCGGGCCTAGTAATGCTTGGCTCACTCAGACCCCAAGCGCCGTGAGCACTTCACCTATAGCTTCTCTCAAGCTCCAGAGGTCTGTGTTTGTTCTTTTAGAATGCCCAGTTCTACCAGCATGTCATGAGCCTGTATGAGGACAGGAAACCGCAGAACACGATCCAGGACAACATGGAGAGCTACAGGAAGCTGCTCTCCCTGGGTAAGCAGCTGCTTCCCCCAGCCACCCTCCGACCAGCTGTGGAGCGTGCGGTCCCCTGCTTGTTTCAGGCTGCAGGACGATGAGTCCAGGTTGACAGAATTCGACTTTAATAAGGAGCCTTAGAAAATTTTCAAGTGGGGAAATAAATGATGGGATTTGTTTTTCAAAGAAACTTGCCTGGCTTAGGTTGAGGAGTACATTGTGCAGTGGGGTGAACAGGGCTGGCTCTTGCCACAAAGTTGACACTTTTCCTAGCGTAGTGAAAGCATTTTTTTTTTTGGTACTGGGGATCAAACTCGGGACTTGGTGCTTGCCAGACAGGCGGCAGAACCACTGAGCTAAATCCCCGGCCCGAAAGCAGATTTTTAAGCACATGTAGAATGGGATCTTGAGTTCTCACATGGACTTCCCTGAAGACCTCAGCCTGAGCTGCTCTTTGGCTGTGTTGGTCTGTGAGACTCTTGCCCTCCAAGAGCTCTGGTGTTTGGAGAGCAGGTCGGGAAAGGGCATCAGGAAGCTGGAGGAAGACCACGGAGGCCGTAGAGAAAGGGGCGGTTGCAAGAAGATGAAGGCCAAAGAGGAGGAGAAGGTGAGCTCATGAACACGCAGGTCTCTGAACAGATTTCCAGGTGCAGTCGAGAGGATTAATTAAAATGTAGCTGGGAATGGGTTAAGGAACGGAGAGTAGGAAATTAAAGACATCCAGGGAACTGGATATGGGCTGCTTCCTGTTTAGTGGCTCAGGAAGGTGGAGATCAGCGTGTGCAGATGGCTCTGTCTCCAGTCTGAATGTGAGCTGTTGTGTTGTTCTTGTGACCAGGGATGCAGCTTGCCGAAGACTACCGGCACTCCCACATGACACAGGGCCACTCATTGTGGGGCAACAGAGATGCCTACCCCAGCACCAGCCAAGGTGAGCACCAGGCGGATCCTACAAGGAGCCAACCACCCATGAGACCCACCGGAGAAGTCGCCTGCACTGTCCCGACCCTGCCAAGGCCCTCTGCCTCTTGCACATGTCTGGGGCTGGGGTATTTACCTGTGCGGTTTCTTTCCAGGTCTCCACATTGTGCCGGAAGCCATAAAGTCAGCCCAGCAGCAGGGAGTCTGCAAAGACGAATCTTCCTGTGGAATGATCATGGAAAACCTCATCAAAGAAATGTCCCATGGCCCCAAGGCAGGAAGAGCGAGGGAGTCCAGTGAGGGGCTTCAGGAGTTCGGTGATGACTGGAAGGACGCTTCGTGTGGCAAGACAGACTCGGCGATCCAGGGGAGGGGTTTTGAAGGGAATTCATTCAGGGGAGGCTTCAGGTTCACCTCAAACCTTGTCTCCAGAAAGAAAGTCCTGGAAAGAAAGAGGTGCTGTCATTTTGACGCTGATGGGAAGGCCCCAGTTCGCGATCACAGAGGCTGTGCCAGGAAGAAGCCCTTGGAGTGTGGGGGTGAGACGAGGGAAGCCGTGAGCGTGAGCAACCTGAGCAGCCTCAGCTGCGCCCCCGCCTCGGAGTCACAGCCCGTCGATTTGGGGGTGATGCCGTATCTGTGCGAAGAGTGCGGGAGGTCGTTCGCTGTCGTCTCAGAATTTGTGGAGCACCAGATCCTGCACACTAGGGAGAATCTTTATGAGTATGGTGAGTCCTTCATGCACAGCGTGGCTGTCAGCGAGGTTCGGAGCAGTGGAGGGGAGTGCTTGGAGTGCAAGGAGTGCGGGGAGGCCTGCGCTACGAGCTCTGCCCTGGCCGAGCATTGCAAGACCCACGCCAGAGAGTACTTCAAGGAGTGCAAGGGTCAGGACAGTGAGGGGACCCAAGTGCTCAGCCCGACCTTCAGTGCGCTTCAGAAGATATACGGGCAAAACAAATTCTACGAGTGCAAGGTGTGTAAGGAAACCTTCCTTCACAGCTCGGCCCTGATGGAGCACCAGAAAACCCATGGGAGAGGAGACGTCACCGATGACAGAGATGGCGAATGCTGGCCCGAGCGTGAAGGCCAGCGCAGGGAATCACTTCTGCCCTGCTCGAGCCTGCATGGGTTTCAGAAGATGGATGGCAAAGAGAAAATCCACAAATGTGAGGTGTGTGGGGAGTCGTTCCTTCACAGCTCACCCCTGAAAGAGCATCAGAAAATACACTTGGGAGGAAATCCATTTGAAAATAAGAGTGAATTGTGTGAGGAAACCCCCGTTCCTGGGCAGTCCCTTAGAAGGCGGCAGAACACCTCCCCTCAGGACAGCCTCTTCGACTTTACCGAGGGCAGGGTTGCCTTGGTGCAGAGCCCGGACCTTGGTGAGGGTCAGAAAATTCATTCTCGAAAGAACTTCTTCAAAGGCAAGGGTTACGAGAAACCCGTCACTCACAGAGGGCCCTCCTCAGAGTCTCAGAAGAGCCATACCCTTAGCAGACCGCCTGAAGACGAAGACAAAGACGAGGAGGAGGCATTCACCATCAGCTCCAGTCCCCATGAAGATCGGAAGTTTCCCTTGGAAGAAAATGTCCTTCAGGGGAAACCGTACGAGAAGTCTGTTGTTTTCAGCACGGCCTCTGCTGATGCTCAGAAACGGCCCACAGTGGGGCTCAGAAGACCAAAGCTACCGGCAGAGTCTCCCCTTCAGAGCTCTGATGTTATTAACTGTCAGAAAGTCTATGCTCCAGGGGACGCCTGTGAAGGCAAAGGTTACAAGAGGCCCATCGTCCATGGCTGGGCTGCCCCCACACCTCTGAAATGTCCCAGAGGGAATGAACAGGTTGAATGTGGTGAGAAGGGAGAATCCTCCATGTATCTCTCAGACCTTCATAACAAGTGGCAGGGGATTCCCACCAGAGAGCACCCATGTGAGGGGGATAAGAATACCAGCTACAAGGGCTACACCATGCAGAGTGCACCCCACACTGAGCCTCAAAGAAGTCGTGCTGGAGGGGGAGCTGGTGAATTTAAGCCAGATGGCAAATTGACCATTCCCAGCTCAAATGTTCGTGAACACCAGAAGGCTCGGGCTAAAAGGAAATACATTGAGCCCCGGAGCAACGAGACCTCTGCACTTCATTCCCTGCTATCTGGGGAGCTGCCAACAGTTTGTGCTAGAGAGAAGCTCTGTGGACGTCAGGAGTGTGGAGAGTCCTTTGCTTGTAGCTCCGACCTCGCTGAACACCAGAAGATTCACAACGGAGAGAAGCCCTGTGGAAGCAGGAACTATGAGCGATCTGCCATTCACAACTTCTCCCCTGCTGACCCTCAGACAAGTTATACCCAAGAGCACTGTACTGAGGAGCAAGCATGCAACAAACCTAGGGAGTTGGGGCCGGGCTCTGCTGCCAGCAGCAACCTCGATGCACATCAGACAGCTGACGCCCAAGAGAAGCCCCACGGCGAGGAGCCCCATGGGCAGGAGACCAGGGGAGACCCTGCCGCTCAGGCCTCTGAGTTGGATGAGCCCGATGGCACCGTCTATGAACGTCAGGACTGTGGGCTGGACTTCGCAGCCCTCTCAGACCTCAGGGGCCACCAGGATGTCCAGAGCAGGAAGCGCCATGTTGACAGTTGTGAGTCCGGACATCCGGAAGTTCACACGCATTCCGTCAGCAAATGTGAGAAAGTGTGCAGCGGTGAGCAGCTCGACGAATGCCCCAAGCGTGGGGAGCCTTTTCTTCACAGCTCCTTCCTCTTCAAGCATCAGAGGATTCATGAACAAGACCAGTCGTGCACCATGGAGGCATGTGATGACAATTTCATCTCTCTCTCACCTGTGAAGCCACAGAGGAACCGTGCCATTGGGAGGAACCCCGGCTTGGCCATTCGATGCAGTCAGTGCACACAAGGCTTCCTCCGTAGCTCCACCCTGGACATGCACACAAGGCATCTCAGGGATGACAAGTCAGTGGAGCAGAGTGAGAGGCCTGAGATTTTCTGTCAGGGCCACGCCCTCACTGAACTTCCGGGGAGTGAAACCAGAGAGAAACTCATGGAGTGTCTGTTGTGTGAGGAGAGCGTCTTCACTCCGAGAGAGCTTGGGGATCACCACAGGAAGGTTCACAAAGATGAGCCCCACGAGTACCAGCCCTCTGACACGCGGGCCTCGCTTCTCACCAGGCCCCTCAGAAAACCCAAACCATTCTTTGAATGCAAGGACTGTGGGCAGCCCTTTATTCCTGACACAGACCTCACTGGACACCACGGATTTTATCCTGAGGAAGCTACCACTGCCCAGGAGGCTGAAGCTGATGTCCTCATTCCACAAGAAGCTCTGCAGATTCAGGGCTCAAATGCGGACGCTGCCGAGCCAGGCATGGAGGTGGCAGAGCCAGGGGTAGAAGCTGCTGAGGCCAGCGGAGAGGCCAAAGGGCCAGATGAAGAGGCCACTGAGCCCAGCGGGGAGGCCGAGGCCCAGCCCACTGGGGATGCTGACGAACCAGATGGGGCCGGGATTGAAGACCCAGAAGAAAGCAGCAGAGAGCCAGAGGGAGATGCTGATGAGCCCGACGGCGCGGGGATAGCGGACCCAGAAGAAGGAGGTGCTGATCCAGAGGTCTGGGTGGAGGGGTCGTACTACAGCTGCCCCGAGTGCGCGGAGATCTTCCTGTCCAGCACGGCCTTCGGTGAGCACCTGCAGATCCACGCCCGCGTGGTCATCCTGGAGCCTGCGAATGCCCTGGGCCACTGCTCCGGCTACATGGCGCGTGCCCGGCAGGCCGGCCAGAAGCCCTTCAGGTGTGGGGTCTGTGGCCAGCCCTTTGGCCACTTCCCGCCCCTCGCTAGGCACCAGAACACGCACAGGCGTGAGTGTCGGGGATGGAGGGCCTTCACCTAGGACCTGGCCCACAGTGGGCCCCGAGACGTTTCGCTGCTGTCAGAACAGGAGTGGCGAGCTGACAGCGTGTAGACCTGAGCTGACATGGGCAGCTCAGGTCCAGTGTGGAGACCCCTGCAGTCCCGGCTCCCCCTCAGAGCACTGGCATGTGCGTGTGGGAGAGCAGTAGCATGTACAGTACCTTCATCTGTGTGAGCAGACCGAGAGGCCCTGTGAACATTCCGGACACCGAGACCGCCTGCCACTGTCAGGGGTGCCGCTGCGTATCATGTATCACGTCGTTTCCTTCCAGGCGGAGAAACAACCAGGTCACAGCCAGAGGCTGACCGCATAGGCTTGGGTCTAACGATGCACAGGTCCAGTTTACTCCGCGGAGCTACCTTACCTGGTACTCTGACTTTTTCTTTTTCTTGGAGGAGGAGAGAGCAACAAATTCATATTTATTTGTAAGTATCTTAGATCCTGAGAAAGGTTTATTGTGCATTATTCGAGCCCTGTCAGTATCTTTTTAGTAACTGTGTTTTATTCCTAATTCTCAGTCTTGTGAAGGTGTAGACAAAGGATAATATGTCTTTTACTCTTTGCTGTTTGAAAAGACAAGTAATTTTGGCTTTCTCCTATAGCCGTCTGTCTGTACCAATGCCTTGGGACCTAATGTTTGTGTGTGAGCCTTTGTAATCTGTGGATTGGCTTTTGTGACCCAAACTAACCTGTTGCCACATTGTCTGTACCTTGTAGTATTTCTCAGGCAGAAATACTACAATTTGGGGTATTTTTAAACTTTTTTTTTTTAAAGCAACTCAGTGTGTGTTCAATAGTGAATTCATAAAACCTGAAGCTTTTCCCTGTAAATTTTATGCCTTTGCCTTTAAAGAACGCACTGCAGGGCTGGGGATTTAGCTCAGTGGTTTCGCCACCTGCTGCGCAAACGCAAGGACCTGAGTTCGATCCCCGGTACCAAAAAAACCAAAAAATGTGCTGCAACCACCACTAGACCAGAGTTTTGCTTGGTGGAGGCTGAGAACTAGGGGAGGCTCTCTCCTATCCCTGTAAATAAGGAGGCCGGCCGGTGATCGTACGTCACTTCCTCCCGCGCTTCCGGCCTTAAGAGACAAGCAGCACCGTGGCGGCATCGCTGTGTGCTGCACAAGTCAGTTTGCTCCCTGGGTGACCAGGAGCACATGTCCTTAAATCTTTCCATTCCTAAACTTCATCTACCTGTTCTTTACCTGTCAGACTTTCATCCCTTGTCTAATTTATATTTTAAAAAATATTAAAAACCAAAAAGTTTTCTTTACAGTCAGCCCAAGCTTAACATGGACTCAGGTTCCCCAGCAGCCTTAATTTGTTTTGTTCCCCTCTGTCCCTTCTTTTCAGCCCCCCGATTATCTGTGAGGTGTCCACTCGTGTCATGTTGGTCTCATCCCCTCTGATCACAAGCTGACCTCACAGCTCCAGGTGGCCCCGTGTCCTGTCCTGTGGACCATTTGTGCTCCTTTGCCTCCTCCTATTGCATAACAGCTATACAGTACTAGAAGTTTTTGGTCTTGAGTTGGCTGGGGAAAAAATTTTTTTAAAAACTTAAAAAAAAAAAAGCAAATCTCTCAATGAAGTGAGCAAAAGCTGAAGGCAGATCATTCAAGCAAACAAAATATCTGCCGGGGGAAATTGTCTGAATCTTCCTCTCTAGAGCTGCTGGTCTGGGGCTCGTGGGGAGTCTGTAGGGATGCCAGGGTGCAGGGAGAGCAGGACTGAGGGGAAGATGCAGAAACGAATATGCCAAGCAGGGAGACCTATCTGTCACCAGACTAGGAGGGCAAGGAGACAGGCAGAAGGAAGCACCAGAAGTAAGGCTAGGGTGGCGAGGATGAGTCAAGTGGGGTGTCCTGGGTCATGGGAGGAAGGTGTCTTTTTGATGGCACGGTGTTCATAAAGGGCAGCTGCATACAAAACCCGAGGTTAGAATGGGCATCCAGTGAATTGAGGGGCAGTGAGGTGCACCAGAAAGGGACCCTTGGAGTGGGAGTCCATGTCGATGTGGTCAGGGCAGATTATTTGGGGGGACCATTACTGTTACACTGTTAATCATTAGGCCCTTTTCAGAAAGCAGCTTGCCAGAAGACAGGGTGTCTTTCCAGCCTTGACTGCATGTGGAAGCAATTTAAATGCCAAACAATAGAGGAATGATTCAGCATCCTTGGATTCATATGCAGCTGTTTAAAAATGATAATCTTGGGCCGGGAATTTAGCTCAGTGGTTCTGTCACCTGCCTTGCAAGCGCAAGGACCTGCCTTCGATCCCCGGTCCAAAAAAAAAAAAAAAAGATAATCATAAAGAATTACATAGCAGTGAAGAAAAATATTTACAGAATATTAAGTGGAGAAAGCAGGACACAAAATTATATTTATACTACAATTATAACTTTAAAATTGTATGCTTATAGTCAAAAGCTGTTGTGTTGTTGTGGGCTTATAGTTCAGCATTATTTTCTTAAATTTCTTGAATATTCATGGTAGTGTTAATGGCCACATTTCCTTTGTGAACATAATTTGAACTCATTATCAAACACTTGGAAAATAAAAGTGGAGGAAAAATAATAAACAATCGATATCCCCACTATCTGAAGATATAAACTCTTTAGTATCTTTTTTGTTTCTGTGCACAGGTTATGATTATAACTGTGTCAGAATGTACATTGAAGACAACTATCAGATTACTCTTGTGAAATTATACTTTCATCTTAATTTTTTCAAGTGTTCATTGTAATGGTGTCCTGATAACCAAGTTCATTATGTATATTTCCATTAAAAGCAAATATGTGTTCAGAGGAATAATTAGACAATATAGTAAAACTAGAGAAGAAAAGTTTATCCATATTCCCAACACCCAGACACTACTGTGAACATCTTGATCTATTTCTTCCATCTTGTTTGAGTGCACAAGCTTGTGATTATAACAGTGTTAAATATCTGTGCATAAAGTTTAAAATGAAAAGAAATGTGAAAAATAATTAAAATAGTGTTGTCATTGTGGGATTATGGTTAAAATATTTTGTCTCAAATTTCTTGAATATTCTTTGGTGTTTTGGTAATGAATTTTATGTATGTATTTTTTCATTACAAATACAGTATATACACATAAAAAGCTTGGAAATTCAGTAAAGCAGAAGAAAAAATTTCACCCATTTTCCCAACAACTACTGTTAACATCTTGATCTGTGTGCTGGTCTATAACTATTAGGATGTTAATGATAAGTGTCAAAGATGGGAAGAAATATGGAAAACGACAGAGAGGCGGTTGTGTGGTCATTGTGGGATTATAGTTAAATGTTTTGTCTTGGTTTCCTTGGTCTTTATCATAGTGCTTTGGTAGCCCTCTTTTCTTATATCTATTTCCATAATAGGTGCAGTACATGTTCATTATAGAAACCTTAAAGTTGTAGAAATAGAGAAGAGAAATTGACCCATATTTTCACCATCCAAAGACTGTGGTTAACATCTTGACATCTTTTTTTCATCTTGTTTCTGTGCACAGGTTTTTGATTTGTTAATATGGTTGTGGTCATTTTTATGTGTAATTGTGTCAACAATAAAAATAAAAGTTAAGATATTTCTCCGTCCCTTTTTCTGTTCATTTTAAGTGTTTCGAGTTGTTGAATATGTGTTTTCTGGTTAAAGTTATAAATCCCAAAACAGAGCCTCCTTAGGCTTAAAAATGTGTTTGGCTTGCCAGTCTCACTCTTTTTAAAGTTTTGCATATTTCAAAAATAACTCCTAAAGGATCATTTCATACTACTTGCCTCCATGTTTTTGACTGCATTTAGAAAATTAAAAAATATATTCCAATAGTGTTTTTAAATTTGCTAATAACCACAAACGTATTTCAGTTACTTGGCTGGGCATTTTTTATTAGAAATATGAGATTCTCTCAAACATAAAGATTCATGAATTTTTAACATAAAAATATGAATATTAGGGTTTAGAGTGTCTGTGAGGTGTCTATTCGTAAGTCTTGCTGCAGTGAAAAGGCATTCATCCTCAGGGGAGTCATTTCAGTTCATCATCCCTACTTTAACCCAACTTCACCATCAGGAACATCCCATTAAAAATTAGTAGATTATAACCACAATTTGGGAGGTAACTTTCAAACACACCTGTGACTCCATGTTGACCAGAGGTCTTCAGCCTAGTTGCCCACTGGAACACGGCTCGTGACCACAGGGGTGATGCAGTACTCAGCTGCAGCCGCTGTGCCCTGATTTCATGGAACTTAAAGGAAATGATCATCTACTTCTCTCCTTTCTGGTCCCCCTGCACATGGCACAGTTGGATTTTGCGCTTCAGGTATAAAAGCATACTTTTAGTTGTAACCACTCTGGCATTTGAGAGCAGTCTGCATTTTTTCAAACTTACAACTTAACATTTATTTACACTAAAATGAAAGCCCATTGAATTGTGATTATCTCTTGTGACATCTGAATTATTTTGGCCACAGCTTGGATGGTCATTTGGTGTAAAGGGGCATCAGCCTAGGTCAAGGTGAGGGTAAGATTGGTTTCTTGCAGAGTATATTATAGAAGGTAGTAAAAGGGGATGAAGTAGGTGACGGGGAGCTGCCTGACCAGCCCTTATCCCCTTGAGGGACACACTCATCTCATTTGAAGAGGCAGCTAACTCTTCTGCTGCTATGTTCATTCCATGAGATTGGACTTCTCCCTGCCATAAACTGGTTTGTGCTCATGGGTTTCCAGTGTTCAGCCAGACTCAAAAGACGCTAAAGACTAGCTGATTGGTCAGGGCTGGTTGTACTGATGAACAAGCAGATCTGGGAGGAGATAAGGCCATGTGACCTGAAAGAATCTTAGTTCCTGGTGTCTGATCCACAGCAGTGCCTTGTGGAGTGCACTGCTGTCCTTCCCATTACTATGATGAAACACTGGAGGCAATTTACCCACACAGAGAAAAGGTTTATTTTGGCTTATGGTTCTAGAGGTTCCAGTGCAAGATGAAGTGGCCCCATCACTTTGGGCCTCTGGCTAGAGCAGGACCTTATGCCAGGAGTGTGTGGCCGAGTAAGCTGCTCAACATGAGCCAGGAAGCAGAAGTGAGACTAAGAGGCCAGGGTCCGAAATCCCCTTCACAGCTGGCATAAAGACTTCCCAGTCGGCCTCATTTCTCAAGATTCCACCACCTCCTAACAGTGCCACTCTGGGGACCACACCTTTCCATATGGGCCATTGGTAGAGGTGACCTTCCAAGCCATATGGAACATGGGTAATGCATCTAGTGGTCAAAGAAACAACTTCCAAGAGCTACTGAATGTTGAATACAAACAAATGCTAATTCTCAGGGATGGGAACATTACAAGGTGAGGCAGAAGTAAGCTGTGCTATTGGCAGGCTAGCCAGCTCCTCCCTTGGGAAGCCATGAATGAGAAGGCAAGGCCAGTACTACATCCCCCCACCAGCCAGACACCTGGTGACAGGCTGATGGCACCAAGACCCTTTCATCATAGGGCAGTGTTGTGTTCTCAGTGAAGGAGAGACTCATTCTAGGTTTAGCTTTTTTTCCCTCTGCTTGCCAGCTTCTTATCAACATCTATGAGCTTACTGCATGCCTCATATAACACTTACATGCCACACATAGCGGTAACTTGTTGTGATAATGCTGTATAATGAGCAGCCATAAAGCTTCATTGGCACAAACTAGGTGCTGACTGCTCACACATCCAGGACCAGCTGGGTATCCAGCCCCCAAGGTCATACCTCCACGGTCCACTCAGGCATGCTCAGAAGTGTGCTTTACTAATTCTCGGGGAGTTTCTTAATCTAGCCAAGTTGACATATCATGAGCAATGGCCACAGTCTGTACCTTAGTGGGTGTCTGGTTGCACAGGTATGTGCATGTCAACACTCCTTCACATGATGCACTGAGTGTGTCCTGGTCCCTGCAGGTAAACTTTGCCTAAAAACAATTCAGTGAATTAAATGAATAGCCCTCTGCCTAAGGACATGCATATGAAAATACTTAGGAGGGAAATGAATAGAAGCCTGCAATTTACGATGAAATGTGCCCAGACACTAAGATGGAGTGGCAGAAGAACAGATGGATGGACAGCTGGATAGAGACACACAGAGAAGACACCAGGCTATCCATGGGAGAAGCCAGGTAATGGCAGTTCCCTGAGCAGGTCCAACTTGCCTGTGTGTTGGAATATGTTGTGCAGAAAATTCCATAGTTAAAAGTAACCTTGCCTCTCCTGCCTCAGCTACCTAGTTTGTTGCCCAGAGGCAGTGCTTCCAGTTTCTTGTACTGACTCCAGAAAGCTCTGCACTCCTACAAGCATGTCACCATAAACACAATACATAAACATATTTATTGCGCATGTTTCAGTACATCGTACCTGCACATCTTGACTCCTTGAAAAGTGCTTCAGTTAAATTGCAAATGGCTCCTAAAACCAGAAAAACACATTCCATCTTGTTTATGAAAAGAGACCCAGAGTCACCCTTGCTATTATTTCTCAAGTTCTGGAAAAATTAAAATAGCTCAATCTAACAGTGTGGATGCTGGCATGTTCATGTAGTTGCTGGTTGCATTAGATACGGGAGGCAGTTTCAAAATCTGCCAAAGTGCCATGTGTGTGTCCACTTTGCCTTGGCAATTCTGTTTCAGAGGGTTTTTCCTACCCATAGGTTGCATACAAACAAAGTCACTGAAAGTGAAGAGTATGCATTTAGCACTAGTTATAGCAGCAAAGGACTGGTGTGATATAATTTGGATCCTAAATGTCCCCCAAAAGCCCACATGCTAAAGGGTTGGTTGCCAGCCTATGATACTGGTGTGAGGCAGTGGAACCTTTAGGGGGTGAGGCCTAGTGAAAAGAAGTTAGGTCTTTGGGGACGTGCCCTTGAAGGGGACGTTGCGACCCTGGCACCTGCCTCTCTTCCTGCTTCCTGGCCATCATGAGTGAGCAGCTCTGTTCCAGCGCACACTCCCTGCCCTGATATATGCCAGGCCACAGGCCTAACGCAATGGAGACAAATGATCATAGGCTGAAGCTGCTGAAACCAGAAGCCAAAGTAAACGTTTCTTCTTACTGTAAGTTATTTATCTCAGGTGTTTTGTCACAATGGAACACAATATGCAATATATATAATGTCATTTATGTAATATATCACATACTATACACACTTCTGTTTAATATCCTACTATATGTATATATATATATATATATATTTTTTTTTTTTTTTTTTGAGACAGGGTCAGGTTTTCGATATATAGTTTGGGCTGGCCTTGAACTCACTATGTAGCTCAGGTTGGCATGAACTCATGAGTGATCCTACTGCCTCAGCCACCTGAGTGGTGAGATTACAGGCATTGCCACCACACTCAGCCCATGTTTTAAAATATTTGAATGTTTTATATTTCAGATTAAATTTATAACTATCCATTTAATATACAGTATAGTAATATTGATTACATGTAATTGCACAGATGTATGTATTTGTATGCATATGTATAATGTTCGTACATATACACCTGTGCAGCACAACCTATGTATAAATACGTGCACACATACAGATTTATCAACACATGTAACTACAAACACACATATATACATATATGTACTTTCTCTAAAGAATTTACTCATGAGATGGCCAAGCATAAGGAGCCAGGAGACCACGTCTCAAATCTACCTTCCCTAAGATAGAGTTTAGGAACATTTATGAGACAAAGAAGCAGGGTGATTGGAGGCATTGGGAAAGGCGATTGAAGGTGAACTAATCAGCAGTTTTCACATTCATAATCAAACCTCATAACTCTTCATCGGACCCGTGTACAAAATGGTGGCATCAGTGTCATCTAAGGGTGGAGTTTGGATCTGCTGCCATCAAAAGGTCACCCAGGTGAAGAGTGGGTGCTTTCAACAAAGTGAGTACTAGTACTCTGCTAGAGACTATTGCCTGGCCTAAAAATTTTGTTATTTTAAAGTCAACCTCAAATAACTAAAAGCAGCCAAGGCTTGAAGGTTTGTTTAGGTCCCCCACCTCCAGAAGGACACTTCAAAGCACAGTGGTTGCCTGTATGTGTGTATAGGAGAGTAAATACTTGGTGGATGGTGCATATTTGGGGAGGGATCATTATCACTGTCTTATGTTTATTTTCAAAATTCTCAAACCACTTATTTCTTCACCGACTTAACACACTCTTTTGAGGCAGGAAGTCTACAGACACCACTTCCGCCCACCTCTCTTCTCCCCCTAAGGGGCGGGGCTGGGAATGGGCAGGAGACCAGTTCAGTGCGCAGTCGCATACCCTCCCGCGTGCGTGCCCACCAGTGTGCTGAGCAGTTCGCAGCAGCAGTTCTGTCTGACGAGGGCGTCGCGCGGCCGAGGTGAGCTACCAGAGCCGGAAAGTTGCAGGTATCCGGGAAGAAGGAACGTGCGGGCACGAGACGAGGGAGAAAGGGCCTTAGGGCCCCACCAGGGGGATGTGTGTTGGCCTTGCTGTGGAGAGTGACCGTGCAGGGCCAGGCAGCGACTACGGTGGACAGGGACAAAGATGGAGAGGCTGAGGGGAAACAACGGGCGGGCTCAGCGGCCCTGAGTCAGCCCTGCCCTCCTCCCGCCTCCTGCTCCCTCTTCCTCTGCCCTAGCTGCCCCTCCTGGCTCTGCCCCTTCCTCTTCCCGTTCCCGCCCAGCTGACCCCTCTTCCTTCCTCAGCCCATGCTCTCTCCCACTCCAGTCTGCCTCTGGTCCTGGAGCCCCTCAGCCTTGCTCTGGTTGTGCCACCTCCTGCCTCAGTAGGGCTTCCCCCTCAGCCCTGTTTCTCCTTCACTGCTCCCTGGCTTCTAACATCTTAGAATTATTTTATACAGCGGAATCGTGTAATTTGTATTTTTTGAGCCTCTTCTTTCAGCAGTAGGACATCCATGTTTTCATTTTTATTTAGATTTCCAGTATATACTGTGTATTTTTACTAGGGCTCCGTCTCCTCGGCAACACTTAGTATTCTCTGACTTTTACTTTTGGACATTCTGAAGGGTACTTGTTGATATCTTATTGTACTTTTAACTTGTATATCTCTGATAATTAGTGAAGTTGTGCCCCACTGTATATTAGTCATTTAATTATCACTTTTATGTAGTATCTCTTAAAATTTTTAAATCTTTTTTGCTCCTGTTTTGTCTGCTTTTTTCTTACTAATTTATATAAGTTCTTAATCTATTTTGCATATGAATGCAGTTCTTTGTGGGATGTATATATTGTTAGGATCTTTCCTCATTCTATATAACACAGTTGTTCTAACTCACTTTTTTTTGTTTTTTGGGGGTTTTTTTGGTATTGGGGATTGAACTCCAGTCCTTGCGCTTGCACAGCAAGTGGTGAAACCACTGAGCTAAATGCCCGGCCCTCTAACTCATTTTTTAAATGAAATGCATTCTTTTGTGGCTTATCAATTTACTTTAGTTCATCGTGCTTGGAATTCAAGTCTCTTTTCCCTCGAGGACCATTTCTGGCAGACTTCCAGCCTGTTTGTGGGTTTTCTGGGAATAGGGCTGAGAAATCACCTGTGTGCCTGTGCACAAAGCTCTATATAGGTGTATTTAGAGATTTGTGTGATGTGAGCTAACTAACTCCTTTTGCTTCAGACAGCCTCCACCATACTGTCCACAAAATATTATGCACTTCTTTTGTACTTGTCTCTGTAATATCTGCAGGTCCTGAGGTCTTGGGTCTTTATATCTGATACAACTCTGCCCACCATCTTCCACAAACCATATACTAGAGCATCCTACCTTGCAGAGTGCCTGTATCCTATAAAGGACCAAGGTGCGAAGATGCTGCATGTGACAGAGCTTTTGGATGTTGTGAAGAAAGCCCACATCTTTCATCTATGCAGTCAAGATGAGAATCCAGAAACTAGTCCCACAAGAAACCCGGGAGTTCTGGACAACTCTCATCAACAGTTTAAGCATTTTCAGTATTTGTCACTGACTGGGCCTCACCAAGCTGTGAGCCAGATCCAGGTGCTTTGCCGACGGTGGCTGCAGCCAGAGACCCACACAAAGGAACAGATAATAGAGCGACTAGTGCTGGAGCAGTTTCTGAGTACCCTGCCAGAGGAGATTCAGAAATGGGTGAGGTCAAAGCAGCCGGAGAACAGCAGCGAGGCAGGCATGCTGGTGGCAAACTTGATTCAGGCATGTGAGGATCCAGGTGAGACAGGTAGGAAGCAACTGGTTGTTTCTGTCCGCTGAATGTCTGCTGTATGCATGGTATGTATTAGGAGCTGAATAAAAGAATGCATTTTATACATCCAGTCTAATCTGCATAATCTCATATGAAATGGAAGAAATTTGGGCTTTGGTTTTGGCTTTAAAATTTATTATTTCTCTGAGAGTATCAGCTTTGTCCCCTTCTCCCACACTTACCCAGCCTGTTCTAGTATCAACAAAAACAAAACACATACTGTGAAAAAAATCTTCTAGGACTACCCATGATACTAATAAGTGTAAATTTGGGGAAATTGGTCTTTATTTGGTTGTTCCATTCAAGGACATGAATGAATTTTTTTTAATGGATGGCTAAATTTTCTGTGCAAGAGGGCACAAAATGTGGCAGGCTTGGAAGTTTAACCTCTGCCAAAATTTACCGGTCTCTTGGTAACTCAAGTATTAGATTGGAACTAAGGAGAGCATTTCAAGAAGGAAAGAAGAAAGCCGCTCAATTCTTACAATTCTTTAAATACAAATAATACTAAAAATAATGTTGAGAGAGAGAGGAAATATAAATACAAAAGATGATAGCTGTCTCTGGGACGAAGGCTGGGGCGCACACAGGAAAGAAGCACAAAGGGAGGTTTAAGTTACTAGGAATGTTCTAGTTTTGGGGTTGAATGGTAAATTCACAGGTCTTATTTACACTTGGAAATGAAAATGAGTGAGCTTAAACATGATGATGCTTGGCTCAATGCTGATAGTGTGTCATGAACTAAGGATTGTGCTCTGTCCAGTCCTGTATGCCTACATTCCTTAAAAGAATTTTTAAGACGCTGTGTGTGTGTGTGTGGTGCCATACTGGGAACTGAAGGCAGGACCTTTGTACTGAGCTACATCCCCAGCCTATTTTTTACTTTTTATTTTGTGCCAAGGTCTCACTAAGTCACTAAGTTGCCCAGGCTGGGCTCAAACTTGCGATCCTCCTGCCTTAACCTCCCAGAGTGCTGGGATCACAGGCATGTGCCATCCCGTGTGGCTTTATAGTGTACATATTGAACACTTACAATGTATTATTGTAGGTGTTTTTTGCATATGAATTCATTTGCTCTCATTAACAGCTTTGTGAAATTACTTTCACTGTACAGACTAGGAAACAGAGGCACAAAGCTGAGTAATTTGCCTGTGGTTCCACAATTCTTAACTGGTAATCAGGCTGCCTGCTCCCCATCTATACTCTTAATCACAGTGCTGTACTACCTCCGGTGGACCTAGTGAGTATGTCCCAGTGGTTAAAGACTTGACCAAAGGTCCAGAACCATTGGAGCTGAGGGTGGAGATTGGAGGGTGGGGGTGGTGCTAAAGAGTAGCCATTACATGAGAAAGAAACAATAGATTAATGAAAAGTGTACTTGAAAAAAAGACTACAGGCAAGGAGGGTCTTCCAGGTTCAGACTTCTGGAAGAAAGGCTGTCTTCTAGATCAGTAAGTGAAAAGGATGTAGGAAAGGTTCAATAAGGCTGCCACTAAAAATTACCTACTGTGTGCCTTACATTTGTAATATTCAAGGCTCATAAGAGTCCTTGGAGGCATAGGTAGAAGTATGTTTTATAGTTGAAAAACTGAGGTTGCCTGATAATTTTGATTGGGAATTGAAACTGTAAATCACTAATACTGAATAGGGAGAACCTTCACTTTATTGGAAGACAGTGAGGAGCCATTGAAAGATTTAGAGCTGGGAAAAGACCAGAGTCCCTTTTGGGGTTTTGCTATGTTGAAAAGAGAATTTACTTTGGTGGTCTTTCTCTCACCATAGGAAGCCCGTTGTGGCAAGATGGGGTAGTGGGAGGCAGCAGGCAGTTCTATGTCTGTGCTTGCAGACAGACAGAACTCAACTCTGTGGTCATTCCTCTTTTGTAGCTTCCCCTGCTCAGGACTCCATCCTCGCAGAAAATAAGAACACCAAAAGAAGAATACAGAGGCATTAGACAAACCACCCTCTGCTGGGTCCCAGGTAAGGGTTGCTTTCTGGGGACTTGATTCTCACCTGTTTCTGGACCTTCCCTGTTCAGTTAGATCATGTTAAACAGCTTTCTGTTTATCTGAAGCCTTGGTTTTCGAGTGTCTTACAGGCTGTGTTCCTCTTCCCAGTGGGGAGGTTAGAGTGACTGGGGGCCTATTCCATCAGGCAGGCCACCACTGACATGCTGACTCCCGGTCCCGGTGAGTCTGATCCTCTCCCAAGATGGAGTGTGTGCCAGGCGGGGGTGTAAGGCATGCTGCAGTCAGGAGCTGCCCCGCTTCCCTTTCCAAACCCTCTGGTGCTGAATTTCAGTGAGGGAGTTTCTCTTTCTGATTTCTTGCCTGACTCTGATTTTCTCTGCTTTCCTCCAGTGCATGTATCAGAGTCCGTCACTTGCTGTCACCACCAGTCTGGCCATGTGAACTTGTGCCTCAGGTTTTAGTTGTTACAAACAGCCCCATTATAAATAGGCCTGTACATGTGTTCAAGTGCACAGGAGCAAACATAGCTAGGAATTGAAGGTCTGGGTTCAAAGTGGTTTATCATTTATTTTTCCCTTAGCATTTTATAAGAGATCTTGTGGATAACATTTGCTATTGTCAGCTTCCTGATTTTTGTTAATTGAATGAGTATGGAATATTTTCATTTTGATTTGCATTTTCATATTAATAAGATTGTAATATCTCTTCATAATTATCAGTTCTCTGAGTTTTACAGATAAGACATGGAGGCTTAACCTACTCACACTAAGTTCATAAGAACCAAAGCCAGAACTTAACGTACCTCCCTGGTTCCTGGCACAGAGTGTACTGCTGAGCTGTTGAGTATATGCATTCTTGCTTTTTCTCCACAAAGTCTCTTGAAAGGCTTTATTTCCCCCACCCGAACCTTTAGTAATTGTTTAGGGACTGTCAGAAGTGTTATCACTTCTCTCCGAAAGGTGCAGTGCTAAGTCCCTGTGGCCTTGGGGTTAGAACACTTAGAACTTCCTGGCGATTTGCGCCCCTGCTTCATGTTCAGTCCTCTCTCGTTAGGCTTGCTGTCTTCCCCCTGGGATAATTCCCGGGCTTTAATGGAGTGTTTCTGCTGTTTTAGGAGTTAGTGACATTCGAAGATGTGGCTGTGACCTTCACCCTAGAGCAGTTAAGCTACCTTACTGCTTCTCAGAGGAAGCTCTATGGGGAGGTGATGCTGGAGAATTACCAGAACCTGGCTTCCCTAGGTAAATGGATTCTCTCCACAGAACTTCATTTCTGCCCACTAGATTCACGGTGGCTCTTCTGCATCTCCCCATCTGCAGTGGTGGCTCATTGTATTGCCCCTAGATCAGAGGCAGTATTTTAATATCTGGTTCACTGATAATGATAAAGTAGCTAACGTTTATTGAGTACTTATCATGTGTCAGGCAGCAGTCTAAGCATTTAACAGGTTTTAACTCTAAGCCTCATACAAGTTCTATGAGGGGGAGGTATACTAATTATTGTTATTATTATTGCCATTTTTTTTTTTGTACTGGGGATCGAACTTGGGACCTTGTGCTTGTGGCGGAACCACTGAGCTAAATCCCCAGCCCTATTGCCATTTTTTATCTGTACCAGGAAACAGACTCAGGGAAAAGGTAGATTACTTGTTTAAAGCTGTGATTCGACCCTTTGTGGCCTGAGTCTAGAATCTGCCTTCTTAAACTCTGATGTGCTGCCTGAAAGACACTAATTTTTCCCAAACCTTCTGATTATGTTAGGTAGGAAGTGTAAGCTTGGTATTGGAATGTCTCTGAATTTTGTTGATCTTCCATTTAGGCAAAGAGAGAAGACCTCAGACCTGAGCCATACTTAGGCAACAGAAACTAGTTAGTATCTACTAACCTTAGTTAAAAATTATTCCCAAGTTGTGAGGACCCAGAATTGAGAGTTCTTGAATCCCAAGTTATGAGTCTCCCTTCTTCAACAGAGTATCAGTTCCCTAAACCTGGCATTATCTCATACCTGGAAGAAGAGGTGTCAAGAGCAATAGAAGAGGACAGCAATACGTGATGTGTCAAAGTGAGTAAGGAGGGGAAAGCCTACGGAGACAGGCATCATGGGAGGTCAGTAACCCCATGCAGTTAATTAGGAGGGGGCCTGGGATATGCTAGTCAGGGCCATTCCTCAAAGCCCGTTTAGCTTGAGGAGACAGCTGGGAGGAGCTCTCACTTCAGGGCCTCTCTCTTTTCAGTACTTTCCCTCATTTCCTTTCCAGAGCTCATCTCCCTGCAGCAGGAGTTCCTCTCATGCCTAGCTCCAAGGAGGCTGATTTCCCTTTTCTCTAGTGTCATAACCCTTGCATTCATTTGTGCCTTTTTCCCTGCAGCTAGAATAAAATATCTTTCCTCTTTAACAGAGATAAAGGAAAAACCTTGGCAAGATACCACCTCTCTTTCCCACTGCCTCCTCCCCATCCAGCCAGTCCCTCAGATTTGTGAACATCCAAGGACTTCCTTCACTTTTATTCTCTTCCCTGTATGGGTTGGCCCATAGAAATTTTGAAGAAGAGTGTTATAGGCAGAAGGATCAGTACATACAAGGGTGGCAATAATGAGCTTGAGTGTCCCAGAAAGAGAGAGAAAGGCTGTATAGTCTGAGTGAGGTGGGGAAAGATACTAGTTGAGGCCACAGGAATAGACAAGCACAGCCCACAAATGGCTAGTTAAGGAACATGGATTTCATTCTGAGTGAGTTGCAGAGGTAGTGCAAGGTATTGAACAGAGCAGTGAGGTGGCAGTATCGACGTTTTAGAACTGTGCTGTCCAATATGGTAGTCCCTAATCACTTGTGGCTACTTAAACTAGTTAAAATTACATAAAATTAAAAATATATTGTCTTGGGCTGGGGATTTAGCTCAGTGGTTCCGCAGCCTGCCTCGCAAATGCAAGGACCCAAGTTCGATCCCCAGTACCCAAAACAAAACAAAACCAAAAACCCCCAAACAAACAAAAAATATATTGTCTTGGTCACACCAACCACATTGTAAGAGCTTGATAACCAGCTGTGGCTCATTGCTACTGTATTAGACAGCAGAAATGCAGACTTTTTTTTTTTTATCATGGCAGGGAGTTCTGCTGGGCAGTGCTATCCTAGAAAGATCCATTTGGTTGTTCTATAGATAATGGGTGGGATAACCGAGAAACTGGTTCAGAGGTCTTCTGAAGTCCATCTGGCTCCATGATAGACACTGGTGCTACGACTGAAGAATGGTGAGATTCAGGGTGTTCTTTGAAGGTAGAACATGTGAATTAATGGATATCCAGCAGGTGGTGGAAACAGGAATTAGGACTGGATTGTCTCTTAGTGTTCCACCCTTGACTCTTCCCTTAACACATTCCCATTGGCTTGATCCACTGGGGGTACCCAGTGGATCAAGCCAGTGGGAACATTACATGTTCAAATCAGAGCAGCCTGGCAGCAAGACACACGAGTTACGGCCCAATGTGAATGTGTTAAAGACCATTTCCTAAAGATCTAATCCATTGTGATGGGTCCAGTTGTCCCTCTTTGCTTGGTAACTTTCTAAGCTACATTCTGGCTATGCTGCTCACATTTCGAGTATTTGTTGGGATATACCCCTGTGTTCATTACTGCCTCTTCCAATCCACAATCTTATACTTGATTTCCTTGGCTTCTTTCCCATTCAGGGAATTGCCTTTGTAAATCCCAAATTTTTTAGTAGTTCCTTAATACCCTCATAAGAAAATTAAACTTTCAGCAAAATATTTCATTTCTTTCCATTCTAGACTGAAATTCATTTACCAATCTCATTTCCCACACATCTCCCAACTAAAATATCATGTTTCTGTCTTCCTAGGACTATTTTTATGATCCAGTGTCTTTGCTTGGGCTGTTTTCTAATGTTGCCATCTCCTTCACTACTTACTAAGCCCAAATTGTGTCCCCTCCTCCAATCTTTTCATGGAATCAGGTATTCTGTCTCTGCTTCTGTAGTGATTTTAGTCTGATTGGAGTCCTTTTTATAGACTTTTGAGGATCATCAAATTGGATAATGCTTTGCACAAAATAGGCTTACTAAATGGCAAATCGAAGACAAGTAGTTGGTTGGCAGTATAGATTTGGATAAAATGAGAGATTGGGATCCAAGAAAAAGTTAGAATCCTGCTACTTTATTGTAAGCAAGAAGCTGTTGACCTGCTCATTCCACTGTTGCCTTAAAGGTCCTGAAGTACCATGGTAATAGGCATTCTTTAAAAATGTCCCATTGTAAAATCAGTTTGAGAAGTGTGACATTCTTGAATGCTTCCCCTTTTGAGATTTGAGGTACATATCAAAGGTTCTGAAGAATCCTAGAGAAATGCAGCCTGCTTAACTGGTATAGTTTCCCAAATTGACACACAGCTATTAGTTTTTGAGAATATTAGTTATCTACTAAGCATGGTTTGGAAAATGCTGTCAAACCGCAGTTTCAAATCTCATTTTGGTTTCCTTCTCATTCTACTCCCTATGTCTCTGTCATCTTTGTCAACATGAAGTCCACTTGGACCATTTCTTCTCTGCTCTTCCCACACTTTCTTGCCTGTTGTCCTTTCCATTCTTTTCTGATTTTCTTCTCTGAGGGTTTGTTTCTAGAGCACTTAAACATCCATAAGATCTGTTCAAACTGTCTTTTGTCTCTTTCTTCTGTTTCTGTTGCAATGGCATGTCTCGCAGAGTAAAAAGAGTACAGGAACTTTTATATTTCTTTTAGACCAGGAAAAGAGACCTCAAACCAAAGAGCCAAGCTGAGAGCAAAGCCTGCTTATAGAAGAATCATCTGGGCCGGGGGTTTAGCTCAGTGGTTCTGGTGCCTGCCTCGCAAGCGCAAGGTCCTGAGTTCGATCCCCGGTACCAAAAAAAACAAAGAAAGAAAAAGAAAAGAAAAATCATCCTGTGGGGCAGGAATAGTGGTTCTAGCAGTAGGTGACAACATCTGGCATGTCTGTTTAGGAAACTCTTCCGATCCATCAGAATTACACCAGGGCAACGAGAAGAAACACATTTTCAATCCTGTAACAGCGAGTGACGTCAAGACCCTTGTCAAGAAAGAAGCCATAGTAATGATGAATTTTCGAGACACTCTAATCTTACTCAGCAGTCAGAGGATCTTCCTGGAGAGGATCCCCAGGAATGCAGTGTTACTGGCATGGGCACCAGACCCCAGCCAGTACAACTCTTCAGGTGTAAAATTTGTGAAAGAGCCTTTAGTACTAACATTGGCCTTGTGAGACATGAGCCGATCCATACTGGAAAGAAACCCTTTGAATGTAAGCAATGTGGTGAAGCCTTCTTCCTCATGCCACACCTCACCAGGCATCAGAAGTCTCATGCTAGTGACAAGCCCTCTCTCTGCAGTAAAGGCGCAAAGTCTCTCATCCAGCGTGCAGATCTCTCTCATCAGGTAAGAACTCATAGTCAGGAGGACTACTATGAACGTGTTCAGCATGGCAAAGCTTTTATCCAAGAAGTACGTCTTTCTCAACATCTTAAGGGCCACAATACAGCAAAGGCCCTTTCCCCTGTGTTGCCCCACAACAAGACATACTTAATTCGTTACCAGCGGGAACATGACTATGTCAGACAGACAGCCCACCAGTGTTGTGACTGTGGCAAAACCTTCGGTCATAGTTCACATCTCGTTCAGCACTACTGAATCAATGCTCAGGAGAGGCCTTACCAGTGTCAGCTCTGTGGCAAGTGTTTCGGCTGACCCTCATACCTCACTTGACATTATTAGCTCCATTTTCAAGAGAAAACAGTTGCCATCACTGTTTAAAAATGTTTAGAGAACATCCTTTTCCTTACCATCTCTGGCTTTGTCCTATAGAAACAATTTTTGAGTGTGTCAAATTTGAGAAGGCCTTCTACCTGCCTCTTCATACCTTTTTAACAACTTGAAAATTCACTGTGATATGGTGGAAACAGGGAGGAATGGTTACGTGAGAATGCAGTAACCTTTGTGCAAGAGAGGATTCAGCACACATCAGTAATCACTCAGGCAAAACACTTACAAAGGGTATTTTTGTTGCATAGGAAAGAAGCTAATAAGTTTTGCCTTCCTTCAGTGGAATTCATGAGATAGAGAACCTTGATTTTGACATGCTGATTAAAATTTATAGCAGACGTGGTGCTTCATACTGGCAGTCTGTGGCCTTAATTTTTATAGAAGAGTTAACATGTAATAGCTTTGAGAATTAACATATATCAACAAAGTAAAAAGATTTTCGAGGTATTACCTAGAATGATTCATTCAGTAAGTTGATGTTATTGGCAGTATATTTACATAGTACCTCATGTTCTTTTATGTATTATTTTTTATTTGCTCTTCAAGGTACCTAGTGCTGAGTTTTACAGATAAAGGAAACTTGAAATTCCAAGTTGTGAGTTGATTTGACCTAGGTAGCAAATGACCTAGGTTGCAGGAACTGAAGTCAGGTTTTTAAAAACTTCTTCCTACCTTCTCCGAATGAGAGCTATGGCACTTATACTGCCCAAAGCCATCTTCCTGGTTAGTGGACCTATTGTCACTTCGCAATAAATCAGATGAGTGCAATTGTATTGGGTTTCAGAGAGCTCTCCTGGGGTGAAATTCTGATAGTCATTTCATGATATAGGATTACATGATGACATTTTGAGAAATGAATTCAGGAAAGTATTTTTGTTAAACACTTTCTTCTGATTGTTTTAGACTAAAAGGCTGGTAGTGGTCTAGTAGAGTTTTTTGGTAGTTGTTGGACTTTGGCATCACCATCATGTCCATCTTCACCTAAAATCCTGTTTGCCTCCTAGGCACACCACTCTTTAAGGGATAAGCCCTGAATGGCACTGAAACTCTCTTTTGTACCATGGGACATGATAGAAGCTTTCTATCACTGACCTGAATGGTCAGATACAAAGACACATGGTAACCAGTTGGACCTGGACTCCCAGAACCTGATCCCTTGCCTGGAAAAGGGTGAGTTGTTATTGTCATTCACTGTTCTGCTTTTTCTCATTGAGTCAGTTTTGAAAGGTCATGAAGTCTGAAGTAAACACAACACCAAAATCGACACCAGCAAGATAGTGGAGCTACACAATCCTTCCCCTCTCCATTTTAAGAGCTCTTGATGAACAGTCCTCGTTGGCTAGCTCTGTTTTCTTACCACAGTCCCTTCTCTGACTCACCGTGGTGTGGTTTCTGATCCTGCGACCACTGCTGTGGGCAGACATGATGTTGATGTGCCTTATTGTTGGTAATGTTGACTTTGCTGCCTTAAAGTGGTGCCTGTTTGATTTCTTTACTATAAAGTCACTATTTGTTTCCCTTTAATTAATAAATGTCTTGCAGGAGAAACTTTAAGATCATGCAAGCATCCATTTTCTCTTCACAGGAGTATCTATGAAGTGGGCCTTGCTAGTCATTACAGCTCTGTATATCATAATAGCAATTCTATACGTCCTTAATTCTTTCTACATGTTGGAATGAGAATTCTCTTGTGAGGAAGAAGTGGCTGAAACCCAGACTTGGAAAGTCGAGCCCCCAAAATTGCTGGCGAAGTGGCCTCAGTCCCTTCACCACCACCGGGGATCATTCCTGGGCCAGCTGCTGTCTCTTCATTGCCTCTTCTAAGCTTTCTCTGTATGACTCGCGTCCATCACTCCACCGGGGTCTTTAGCCACCTGAATTAAGAGATAGTACTTCCTGAGGAAGCCTGTTACTGGGCTTCCAACCTGCCGCTGCCCCGTTGAGCCCTGAGAGTAATGCGTAGAACTGCTGTCTGTGGTCCCCCTTCCAGCTCCTAATATATCCAGGGGTTTGTGCACTGCTCTTATGTTGAGATTAATTATTTTAAATTTTAGAAACACTTTTGATGTAAGCTTTTTTGTGATAGTACAAGTAATATGTATTCCTTGAAGAAGAAAACTAATAAATGAGGTTTTTTTTCTTTGAATATTTGTATTTCTCTCTCCCAGATAGACTTGTTGCTAAATCTTGTACCTGGAGTTTTTTCTTAGGCATAGATCTGGAAAGATTTATTTTTTCAAAGGTATTTACGAAATACTTAAGTGGTATTTGGAAGACTGTAATTTTTTTTTTTTTTGGTACCGGGGATCAAACTCGGGTCCTTGAGCTTGCACAGCAGGCGGCGAAACCACTGAGCTAAATCCCCGGCCCAAGGAAGACTGAAATTTTTAGCCTCATATATCACAAACATCTTTCCATAGCCATAATATACTCCTGTTTCATTTTTCAGGGTTGCCTGAGTACTTGGTTGTGTGAGTATGTCCTTCTTTTATTTAGACTTGCAGGGCTGGAAACCAGGGCTGGTTGTTACTTCTCTGCAACGCATACTGCTGCTACAGTTATGCTTCCTCCTCGTCTCTCTGGTCTTAGTGTTTGCCTTATCAATTTTCTCATGTTGTGTATTATTTTCTAAGGGGAAATTCTCAGCAGTGGAATTTCTGAGCCAAAGGTGTGTGTTTCCTTTTTTTTTTTTTTT